ATTATAAAATGAGTCTGAACCCTGGAAAATAAATACAAAAAACTAAATTTTCTGTTTATCCTTTCCGATATGGGCTTATCCAGGACTAGGTTAAAAGTGAAGAGAAAAGAGAGAATCAATCAGTTTCCTGCTGTAATGTGAAGAAAGAATTTCGCTTCTTAGGTAAAACAAATGACCTCATTACAGGTAAAGATATCATACATGGCATAAACAAGATTATGAAGTTTAAAAGAAAAAAAATAAAAGAAAAATCCTACTGCAGTTATTGCTACAGATATGAACACCAGAAACCCAGCCTTACCCAGCAACTCAAGCCAACAGCTATCAAAAATCCTATACCCATCAACCTGTATCAAGGTAAATAGAAGGGTGTATTGATATCATGTGTGACTTTGAAGATTCTGCTGCAGGATTAGTGTGTTAGTTTACTTCACCAAGCCAGCAACCTGACTGCTATCCAAGCTAAACAACTCATGTCACTTTGTACTGCAGAAGCTTCTACGAGTGAGTACTGGAATTTGAACCTTCCACCCACCTCTCTATCATTCGACAAACTCCAATTTTTTAAGCATGGCATTGTTAGCCCTGCTTCTGCCTATATTTGAGGGATCCACCCTACATCAAAACTATTCAAAAGCTCAATACATTTTACCTTCTTTAAGGAATCATCATATGGAGCATAACCTGCGTAATGCTCTTATTGTTTCTCTCCTTTCACCTATGACAAACCACAACAGCAAGAGAACGCAATATGGGAAGCACTTCCAATTCGTTGAAGCTTCATTCAAGAGACCTAATTCCATGCAGTTCTCACATTGAAAATTATGTTAATTCTTGTTTCTTGATGGACCAGAAGTTTAAAATGTGGACAAATTAGTGCTTCTGCATGAGTGGTGGTGTGCCTTTTCCAATAACCACATATTAGGTCATCTTCAGCTGGGAAAATTGTTAAATTGCTCTTTGCAAATACAGACCCACATTTCTGTAATCTAACTATCACATTCCCAAACCTCATCCTTCAACTGGGTTTCAACAGCAATGCAGTGCAAATAATCATCTCTGCAACCAACAAAAATCCTCCCACCAATCATCACAGGTGAAGAGAACACATCACCTTGAAGTTCAAGCCTTGCAAATTCCTCCACCATTTTACTTGGTTGGGATGTCTTTGGTTCATCCAAGTTGATACGAAGTAAAAGAATGATACCAGAGCTGGTGCATATACAAACCAACCTGAAAATGTGACCCAAAGACAAGCATTAGTGGTTTAGATTTTCTGATGAATTTGTTTTGTGGTTTACCTGTCATATGAAACAGAGGGATTAGATAACAGCCCCAAGTTCTCATCTACATAAGCAGATGATGTGATTGGATCTCCAACATTTAGTTCCCAGAGTAGTTCTCCTTTTTCCTGAAATAAACCCCAAAAATATTTAGTGTTAAAAGCAAATCCATCTAAACATATGTAACAAATATGAGAAATTATGTTTTAGTTGTTTGAATGTTTGTTGAATGATAATTAACCACACCATCAGGTTAAAGTAAGCTGTCTATCCGTCTGACCCCTTGGTTTCATTCCTTGCTTGCTCCATGGTCAAGAGTCATGACTCATTAACAAAATGCTTTCTTCTATTTTCTTTTCTTAGTTTGAGCCAATGGCTATTAAGAATATGACAAGGCAAAAGCTCAAAATTTGGACAATTTAGAAAATGAAATATCCATGCTAGAGAAGATGTTTTTAATAACATGTGTAACTACCTTTATACCAGGTATGTAAGTATCTTATTAAAGACGAACTATGCTGCATTTGCTATTTTATTACTTGGCATTTCTTAGCATATGAGTTGACTTCTAACGTGCAGCCTGTTTTCTAAAGGTTCATTTCTTAACGAGTTTTCTATTGAATGTTTTATTAAATGCCTAGTTTTTTACTTTGAAAGCAGATTTATAACCTATTTATTCTTATTAGTTTCAAAACCTTCTGATGATTCAAACATTTAAATCATGTTTTTCAACTGCATGCATGAGTTTGGTCACACCCTTACCTCGGTAGTCCTAGGAATGCAAACGCAGCATTTCCATTTAGAAACATACCACAAAATTTTCAGCAAGACCTCACAATAGTTTGACAACTTTGGGAAAATTACCAAATAATAATTCATAATTTGATTAACTATTAATTTTACATAATGGTAAAATAATAGCATATACAATCTAATACATCATATGCATTAATCCACATGAAATGACACACTAAAACGAAGAGATAGTCCAGCAGTCAATAATCAGACAAGTTGACCAAAAGAGATAACATCCAGCCAAAGGGAATATCTTATATAGTAACCATACTCTTAAGAGTTAAACCAGTCCTTTGAACTGACCATGAAAGCAAGAGACCTAAACTCCTAAGTCATTTCAAAAGAGTGAAAAATACCAGTGCTTCAGCCAGTACAGTTGTTTGCAGTTTCATTATAACAATAAATTTGCCCCAACAAATAAGCCATTAAAGTTAAAAATGAGTTCTGGGCCATACCAGCTCAAATGAATAAACACTTCCATTCCTGGAACATATTAGCACCTGTGCAATATAATGGAAACAAACCTCTTAGGGAAAATGTGTCATAAAATTCAAGAATTTTCAATCATTGTCACTCACCATGTGTATCATAACTTAAGTTAAATTTTGTAAAAGGTTTAACTTAACGTTTTCACATGCCCAGGGCAGGCCTAGGATAGAACTAGGGAAACAATCCCATCCCACCCAGAAAGAAAAAGGAAAAAGAAATCTTCCCAATTGCATACAAGGATGTGATAGAGTTAAGCCAATATTTATGGACAATGAACAGTGTATATAGTTTAAATCACAGCTCTAAATGTTTAATGTTAAAATATAAATTACTTTATTTTTCACATGATGTCATCTTTTATCATTCTTTTTTCGAGCATGCAACCTAAGAACAAACTAGTTGATTGTAAACGGTGGGGCATATATTGTATTTAAGTGCAAATGCTAATTCTTAACTCAGCATGTGGGATTCTCCCATTGAACACTTTCATTTGGATTTAAGTAGCTTCACGCCTTGTCCTAAATTTTCCTTGTGATTCACTTCCAAGCATAGATTATTTGCAAATTAAATAAAATTCATCCAATGTTGACATTCCATAACAAAAAGAATCATAATCCAAACTTTACCCCATAGACAGAAATAAAATAATGGAGATAGTTTTAGAATAAGAGTGGAGGGATATGAGTTCGTTTGGTTGGAGGAGTGCCTATTCCTTACATCAATTTACTTCTAATAAGATCATATAAGTTGTTGCTTGCCAGTAACTCCCCCTAGTCTTAGCCATGTCCTCCGAACTAACAGTATTAAAATAAACTTAGTGAAAGTAAGAAAAAGCTATTCTTTGTTTTTGTTTTTTTTTTTTTTCAAATCAGAAAAAGCCTTTTCTTTGTATGAATAGATACAATTTACTTTATTGTTATGGTTTGACTATTGTTATGGTTTGACTAAGGAATAGTCACTCCATCCAACCAAATATGAACTATATTTGCAGAGAAAACAGAAACAATGATATACTAATCTATACCTATATTCCAGCCCAAAAATAAAAAAGAGATATACCAATCTATGCCTGCCTGTACTAAAGAGTTTTATGTGTTTTTTGGAGGAAGAATATTTCAAACAGATACCATCAAACATGAATCAAGGGAAGTTAAATTAGGGTCATTTATGTAAACCTCACTCACATAAATAAAGTCACTAGTTTAGTCAAAGGTATGTGTCTCATTAAAATTGCCTAGCCTTGAAGGTTCATATGAATGCCATGCCAAAGCAGGTGAGCACAAGTTGGGCAACTCCTGTTATTGGTTAAAATGAGAAAATGATACTCTATCTGTTCTGATTTATCTATACAAATAACTAAATTTACATATATTAAAAAGTTGTTAAAGACGCACTTGCAGCTTCGGCTGCGTTGGAAGTGCATCATCCCCTTGGCGTCTATGTCAAGGGTTCTAGCTGCCACTGCTGCAGCAATATTATACCTACTCCCCTATCCCCCAATTTCCCACTGATCAAAAAAAAAAAAAGTTGTTAAAGACTAACTGTTTATACTTGACTTTCTATTTCTACTCCTAATAATTAACATTAATGTATTAAAAGCATCTATTTATAAATTTTTCATTTTTATTGATGATTGAAATTCCTAGGATTAACTAATTAATTTTATCTTGATTAGTTAACATAATTGAAATTCAACCAAGTACATTATGATGATGTGCATTATTCTCATAAATATTTACACTACTTTTAATTAATGAGGGAAAGCTTTACCAAAAAAAATTAATGGACAGATAAATAGGAACAAAGGGAGTATAAAAGTAGTGTAAAACTCAGTAATTGAGAGCAAAGTTGGAAATAAGGTAGTTAATGCGGTTATAGTGACAGATAAGTACAGGAGAAGTATTAATTAAGTGGACTGTTATAAAATGAAGGCTGGCAAAAAAGCTTTACCTGAGAATGAAGCACATAAGGTGTGCAAGCACCAGCAAAAATTGGACCACCAGTTCTATACTGAAGAAGAAAATAATGAATATGAGGATTGAAAAAGTTTCAAGATACAAATTGAATGCCAGGAATGAAGACAGGAAAACGGTGAATCATTAAGCAAAATAGAAGACTATTGCTCATCTCTCTTTATTTAATAGAGTTGATTACATTTGTAACAAGCTAGAAATGATTAACATCTATGCTCTAGCTTGAGGGAGGAGTGTTAGACTATCAAAGCCCAAGAATTGTTTGCCCGATTGTGTGTGTGACCCAAGGGTGGCTGTTGCAATCTGTTGCTAATTGGTTTTATGCATTCATGTTGTATTCTATTCAGGCCCATTTGTTTTCTAATAATTTTGATCATGATTACAGACATGTCTATTTGATATTTGATGAATTTTGTTTAAGCATGCAGAACATGAAAAGTGCAAATGTGGTTGATTTGGATCAAAACATCACTCTTTAGGTGATTCCAATCACCCATAGTTGGAATAGCTGAAATTCAAATTTGTGATTTCAATGGTTTCAAGTCAACATATTATGACTCAAATCAATGCAACTGTAGCAGCAATTAATCAATGCAGGATGTAGTTGGGCTTCCATTTTCCAGTGACACTTTCTGCTAACCTTCAAAAGGGGTTTAAATGAAGATGAAAGCTGATTAGGCAAGTTCAGAGGTGGTTTTTAAGAGCTTAGAAGATCTATAAAAAGTGGATTTCAAGATTGAAAAAATGGTGCTTCAGCTTGAACATTTTGAGAGAGAAAAGCTTCTTAGGAAAGTACAGTATTGTTGAAATTTGTTGATCTTAATTTTAATTATTTGCTTATTAAGAAGCATTGTAGGAGTTGTATTTCTATCTAAACATTCTACCGTTTCTTTCTGACTGGGATTGGGGGAGAGACTAGACACTTATAGATTGATTTCAGGAAATAACTCGTTACAGTTTCTCTAGCACCTGAAAGCTAGTGGGAGACTTCTTAAGCTTGGGGTATAGCACTTGAAAGGGAGAGTTGAAACTTGGAAAGTAGATATAGGGATGGCCAGACCACTACACATTGAGTGTTTGTGATTCTCTTCCCTCACTCTCTTTTAATTTCCACATTAAGTTGTTTGACTTGATTAAATTGTATAAGATTATTATGATTTCAATATTTTTAAACATAACAAAATGCCAAAAAAAGAAAAAAGAAAAATTCATTTACCCTCCAAATAATCAATCCGCTCAAATCAAATGCCAATACATGCCCGTCCACCAAGCAGCAAATAACTGCCAAGGAAACAGGAACATTACATATACAAGTGTGTGCATGTATGTAAAAGAATGCAATTAACATTATCATGGGAGACAAAAAGATACCATATCCATTTATGGGACTGATGCAGAGAGACCCAAATATTGGCACTTCAAGTTCATGCAGCCATGAAGTATGGAATGGTAAATCCTGTATTCATAGAACTTAAGCCAAGTAAGACATCATCTCCATGCAAGACAGCTCCTTTCAAGTACCATGGACTATAGAGCAAGATCTTTTTGACATCAAATTTAAATACAGGGAACACAGAAAAAAAAAAATGATATATAAAGCATATTATACGTCTCCAACTCATAACACATTGAATTTTGGCAAAAAAATAAAATAAAATAAAATAAAAAATAAAACTACTGCTTGCATGCAAGAACTGCTAGTAAGATACATGCCCTTGACATGATTGCATGGAAGTAGATGCATACGGCTATGAAAATAAATTATGGTGACAAACAATTATGAGATTAAGCTTCTTGAAACATTTGATATAAATAACTAGGTTGTACATATTATTAATTTATTAAATTTCACATTTGTTAAGAAAATTCAAACAGGGAAAAGCTAGAAGAGAAAACAAGAAAGGCAAACAAATGAGATTTATTCTACATATTGAAACTATTACATTGTGAACCTTTATATAGGTTTTAAGGGACCTACAATGGGACCCACTGACATTGACTAAGGAAACCTAAGCAAATCTACCATTATAACAGAATATCAAATCTTGGAAAATTGCAGATTCTGAGTGAAGGGTTAACTCTTGAGTCAAGAATCGACTCTTGAAGAACAAACGTTACATTGAGATTTGATTTTTACATTGGAGATTCAACTCTTGAAGAAAAATCAAGAAAGAGTGAGAATCAACTCCTAAAGGAAAATTTGATTCTTGAGGGTGAAGAATTGGCTCTCAAGAAGAATTAACTCTTAACTCACAAAAGCTATAGAAATTATGAGATGCAAGGCATAGTCAACTCACAAGGAAATAATTGATTCTTCATAGCAAGATTGACTGTGAGGGTGAAAATTAGGCTCTCAAATCATGCTGACAAATTTGGTTAATTTGAAGAATGGATTCAAGTGGTTAAAGAGTAGACTATTCATTTCAAGATTTGACTCTTCTACATGGCTAATCTTTCAAATTTCACAATTCTGCAACACATGTAGTGCACCCTAATGGCTAGAAACAATTATTTTCAATCTTGGGCTAACAAATAAGGTTGGTAAACACATTGAAGTGATTCTTGGACAATTGAATTCAATTCATGTGCCAACCTTTGTGCTTAGATTTGAGATTTTATTAATTGGGAATTTAGAATTGCAAGAGTGATCATTTAAGTGATCTATCAATTGTTCTCACCTGCTCATTTTGTCTAAGAGTATTTGGGAAAAGATCAAGCGAATTTGAAATAAGGTCACTTGGGATTTCATTGATTTCATTGTGAGGGGTTGGGATTTTGTTGTAAAGGGTGAGGATTTCATCGTAAAAATGAATTAAAATTTGTATGTTTGGTAAGAAAATGAATTAAAATTCGTTTCAGAAATAAATTCATATGTGAATTCAATTGTAACTTGTAAGTGAGTTCTTATATTTTAAAATTTTTATTGTGCTTGGTTTAAATGAAAATAAAATCAATTTCATTTTAAAAAAATGAATTCACTAGATAAATTATTTAAGTGAGTTCTTATATTTTAAAATTTTTATTGTGCTTGGTTTAAATGAAAATAAAATCAATTTCATTTTAAAAAAATGAATTCACTAGATAAATTATTTGGAATTTTATTTTCTTACAATGGAATGACTAATGAAAACATACAATTCTTTTAGTAATGTAAATGCTTAAACACATGGAGTTCATTTGCAAATTTGATCAAAATGGAATTTGAATTTAGACTAAATCAATTCCACGATTAAAAGTTTAGAATTGAATTACTATTTTTAATCAAACTAAACATAGCAAGTGTAGAACTGCAAATGAATTCCACTAGGGCAAGAACTTTTTAATCAAACCAAACACGAGAGTAGAATTAAAATCAAGGAATTAAAATGAAAACTTTTTAATTAAACTAAAGGGTATGGACATGAAAATGAATTCCATACTATTTTTGTGAAATTCATTTATACCAAAACTACCTTCAGCTACCCTGGATTTTTAGTGGAGAGTGTGAAGAAAATCATTAGCAAAAGAAGCCAAAAACGTTAAGGTAGAGGATTAGGTGTAATTGGTTGGGCCAAACCTCTATAAAATCATTGTGCAAGCTATTCTTCATTCTCTTGTTCTTACTTTTAATTGGTGATTTGCAAAAAGGTGAAAAAGTTAAAGAATCCAATTTTCCCCTTTGTATTACTTGAGTCAACAATTCCCACTTGTCTTTGTAGGTCAATTTCTTTCCCAAGTTCCAATCCTCTCTTTGATGTATGCAGGATACACCAATTTAGCCTAACAATAATTTTCTTGAGAATATCATATCAACTTAAACTAAAACTCTTACCTTTACAAAGGATTAGCATGTTTAAGAAATGATGAACAGCCCAACCACTAGAACAAAAATAAGATACAAACAAACAAAAACTAATATGTTTTTAAAAACTACTTGTACCATGGGCATAAGCAAGATTTGAGAGGCACTCCTTTAAGAACCTGTCATTTGTAATTTTGTATCTAAAATTCAATATTGGTAAGGATAGGACCAATCTTCAGTCTTCACCTAAGACAATTATATTCAAATAGAAAAGCTTGTGTAAAAACTAAGGAGAGAAGCAAAGTGCAATTCCTGCCCTCTAACATCTTCATTTCATTGGACTAGATAATGCCTAGTTGAATCTAATGCTTTAAAATATAAAATAAACTGCATACCTTTATTGATATAGCTGTTATACAGCCGCTAGTAGATGCCACATAAAGTGTGTCATGCACCTGAGGGAAACATTAACCAAAAATTACATTATCAAACAAATAAAAGGAAGTTCCAGTATTTGCTTATTGACTTTACTCTCTCCCAATAATGCAGACATGTTTTACCAACAAAATATTCACAACACATGCCACTTGCCAAAAGCAGAACCCTACATCACAATAGTCTGAGCTTCAGCCGTGTATTTCTGTTTTAAAAATTGGGTATTAAAAGCCAATGTATGGATGTGAATCCTATTTACTTCTGTTAAAGTAGTTTTACCTCACATCAGTCATATACTTAAAATTGATAGATCTGCATGACAGCACCAACACAGCCACAAAAACTCATCCAAGTTTTGGGCATACAACTACCATATAGTTTAATAATTAATTCATGATTTTCAAGATTTTCCCTCATGCTAAATTAATTCAATTTGAAAATATTTGAAAGTCAATTGCACTCACTTCATCTATTGAAGGAGATCCAAATATACTTCCACCACAAGGAAGCTTATATACACAGCAGTGCTTTCTATAGTCAAGAGCATATAGGTTATGGTCATGTGATCCACACCTGGATATATTGATCAAAATATTAGATCATGTCAACATAATGCAAATTACAAGAAATGACAAATTCAAAGGAAGAAAAATAAATAAAATTTAAAGGAAGTAATAATGATTTGGCTCATTTATAAACAATGCATCGGTAAGTCTTGCAACTCTGAATGATGGTATAGAAGCATAATTTGAATATATGAAGGGTTTATAGAATATAGAAAAAAATTTAAAATTTGATTTTAGTAGGAAAGAAATTTCATCAAAGGCTTTAGGGTTCAACAAATTAGAACTCCTCAATACAACAATAATGAGATTGACCAAAAAAAGCCAACAGAATTAACTGCTTGTACTTTCTTGCAATGACTCTGCTGTCGGCCCATAGCAGGGTAAACTAGATTCTAATTTCAAGACTTCAAGTGTCAGCTGGCATTGATAATACAGTAGATATACATGCTCTCCACCATTAACAACCAGAAAGAAAGATGTTTTGATTTTACAGGAGACATTACAATTCAGACTAACATTTATCAAAATTTGTAAAAAGAATAGGTAAGAATTCATATATTGGAGGCAAAAGAGAAAAAGCAGTTTTGACCAACCAACTTAACCACAGGAATAATTTTGAATACTACAATTAACAAAATGATTTAACACTCAAGTCTGGTCTGGTGATGATGAAAACAATATGAATCAGAAGAGTAAAGATATACCAGATCAATTGTCTACGCACATCTACGAGTGGCTGGCATTTCACCTTCAAATATTAAAGAAATTTAACATCAGAAGTAACATCAGGAGAAGCAAATTATAGTTAACAGACCAGCAAGCAATTCAGAGAGGAATATTATGAGGAGTGAAAAGTTTTTATCAAGGAAAAGACTAAGTGAAATTGCTAAAAAAAAAAGGGGGGGGGGGGGGGATGAAGAAGAAGAAGAAAGTAATAGAGAAAGTTTCCATGACATACTTCTCCAAACTATATTCACATCAGTTGCATTTATCTCTTATGCAAGAATGAAACAGCAAGATGGTAAAGCTCTTGAAACAACATACCTCACCAGATGTTTGGAATGTCCAACAAATGTTGCCATTAGAAAAATCAAGAAAATATATTTTCCCTCCATAGCATCCAACAACAACCTGTTTATATTATATAAAACATGTATAATGCTCAGGGACAAACCAAATCCAAATGGTAAAGGACACAGAAAAAAATGATCTACAACCTGAGAAAAGTCACCAACAACTGCTGCTGAACCTTCAATTCGTCCTTGCAGCCTGATTTCCCACTGGACAGAGCCACTAAAGAAATTAAATTATAATAGAGCAGTTCAATTAGATACAGACTATTCAAAATGCTCAAATATTTTATGTAGCATGCAAATTCAATGTACTTAGGAACTAAGTACAGCAACAAACCCAACTACTAAAAATTTCTTCCTCATCTTTTTAGAGGATTCAATTAATGATCACAATAAACATTTTTTTGACAACTTAAAATATTAAAAAGGAAAGTACATTCGAAAAAAAACTTCACTTCTCTTTTTGGACCAAAAAAAGCTGTATTTAAAATTAGCATTGACTTAGAAATAGAAGCTCTAATGATTTAATCCCCAAATTCTCCAAATATATCTACATCTCTCATATTTCAACTTGGAGATAACGATAACACAAAATACCACACAAGTCAAATTACATATAAGCAACTACATGTCAGTTTGTCTTCCATACAAACTTTACATGTCCGGCCATGAATCCTCCATTGGCTAGAAGAATTGTTTTCTAACAAACAAAACCAGCTGTACTGGATGTTATCCATTAAATTCTTATTACAGGAGCCATCTTTAAATTGGCAGAAACCAAGAACTGGATTTATTGATATGCTATTCTATCAGGCAACAAGAACTCTTAAAAGAAAGAGAGGAACATATGAAGAAATCCACAACAATCAAAACAAAGACCAAAGTCATGGAAGAACCCTTGGAGGAATAAATCATATTTTTGGGATACTTTTGCAAACTTGTTTTAATTTTAGTATCTAAGACTACTTATATTCTTCGCTGCAGATTCCTCTGTCCCCTTAGTGTGTAGATTAATTTTCAAAAGAGGGGCTCTGAAAACAATGATTAAAAACAAAATTTGATCCTCATGAACAAAGATAAGAAGATTACCTTTTGGCATTAACACAGAGAAACTTATGCGAGTGAGAGCCAATAAATAAATAAGCATCTGAATCTTTGAACACAACAACTGGTGATGCATCAACACAAGACTCCATGTGAACTTTCCACAGTTCTTTCAAAGATCCCTTTCTATTTCTTGGAACCTCTATCAAGTGTGCCAATTGATGGATATCACTAAATTCACACCTTTCATGCATAATCTTATTACAGTGACTAAATGAACATGATATGGGCATTGTTGCAGAATTCCATGGAGAGCCATCATTTGAACAATCACACTCCATTGCAACAAATTTATTTGAATCCACCTTCAAGCGTTTAGACAAACCAGCTTGACCTTTGATGTTTGTATGAGGAGTCCTTGAAATTGATCCCTGTAATTCTAAGCCAAGAATATGAGGAGTTGCAGGGTCAACAGAATAAAATGCCTTTCCATTGTCTGATTTGGGATTAAATTTAAATTTAGAATCGTTTCTGGCATCTGCATTCTTTGCTCTCTTTTTCTCTGTAAGAGCAATTAGAAGCTTATATGGAGTTGGACAGGCATAGAGCAATCTCATATCAATCCCTAAAGTATGGGAAACATGTGCTGCAGCAATTGAATTACCACCCATCACAAAGAAATCATCATCATCAGAAACATCGCCAACCATCAAACCAACACAAAAGGCCTGCCAGGAAATTTAAAGATAAATGCAATCATATGAATCTAGAACAAATCAGTCAAGAAACATGCTTAATCCTTCTGTTCCACTTGTTCAATGATATAATTCAGCTAATAAGGGTACAAAAATTATCAAGAACTTAAAATCATCAATCCATCTAGTCCAAAGAGGAGGAAAAAGGAAAAATGAACGTGGCTTACCCACAGAAAAAAAAAAAATTGAATGGCTCAATCTCAAATATTTCCTAAATATGTATCCTAAAAGTTCACATTATCACTGACTATAACTTGTTCAAGGGCCATACAGCAAACACGTCTCTTATTACATACATGTAGTTTAGTCATCTTACATGTTCAGTCAAAACTTCTTAAGAGTTCCAGAGTTGTTTTGCAGCTTGAGGAAAAAGAGTCATTGTGCCACTAAAAAGGGAAGATAGCAACACATATAAAATCTTTGAGACAGAACAGGGCAAACCTTTTTGATAACTTGCATGAAATCATCTGTACCACTGTCACTAATCTCATCCTGCACTTGTGTTGTTAAGATTGAGCCTTCCAACGATCTGTAATCCACTTTTCCACTGGCAGACATTGGCAAATTTTCCACAAAGATGAAGTGGTTAGGAATCATAGCTAAAGGAAGTTTGCTGGTCATCCAACTTCTAATAGAAGTTTTCATTAGTTCATTTGATTTCTTCTCCTTAAACATTATAAATGCTATAAGTGTAACACCCCCATGATCCTTGTGGCAAATTACAGCAGCATTAGCTACATTACAGTGCCTCCTTAATGTATTTTCAATCTCTTCTAAAGCAACACGCTGCCCATTAATTTTTATGGTACGGTCTTTTCTCCCCAAGAAGACCAAGTCTCCGCTTGGAAGCCGTCTGGCAAAATCACCAGTCCTAAAATATAACTGGCCTCCACAATCTGCAACAGAACAGTTACAAATGGTACTCTGGTGCAATTTTGTATAATCCATGGGCATAATTTTGTTTTCTGAAAAGTACCCAATAGAAACACAAAGACCCCCAACACATATTTCTCCCTCGTTAGGAGTGTCACTTTCACCAAGTACTACATCACATTTGGCAATAGGCAAACCAACTGGAACACTAGTTAAGGTTTCTGTCTCCAAAACTGATGGCAACATCTTGCAGTCAAAATATGTACAATCTCCAGATACCTTTTTTTCAAAATTTCAAATATTAGCCAGTAAAATTAAGCACAGGATAAGTAGATTGTATGATAACAGGAAATACATCAAATATAGAACAAACTGCAAGGCACATATTAGTTGCATCTTTATTAAGCCATTGATTTAGTGGCATCTCATAGATCAGCAATCTGGTTTCATGTGAAAGGAGCATGATAATGTCAAAGAGGTAAAGGAAGGCAGAAACCTCTTTATTACTTATTATACAAGCACAAAGAGTTATCTCCATTTCAAGATTCAAAAAGCTCAAACATTTAAGACATAAATTAATAACAAACATAGAAAGAGAGAAAATGAAACTACTCTAAAGTAAAAATCAAGCAATGATAGAGGTTCTAAACTTCCTCATCTTAATTTAATGCAAAACAGAAGAAAATATTGAAAGGGTGAAAAAGTAAGTGCCTAACCTCTGTACTCCCGTACAAGTTCAGTATAGAGGTCTTGGGTAATAAAGTGGAAAGAGTCTTCCACAAAGATAAAGGTAGAACTTCACCACTTAGGACTAACAATTTTAGTGCACTTTGAATCCAAATGTCTTGTTGATTTTGCAAAGCAGGGAGGATTGCCCTCATCAATGATGGAACAGCTGTAAACCTACTAATAGAGTAAGCCTGCAATAACAATTCAAAAATCTTTGCAGAACATAAGTAAAAAAACAGAAGGCAAGATGGACTAAAAAAATACAGATGGGGAAAAACATGTATTTCTCACATTGAAAAAAGGAGAAAAAAAAAATTTCAGCTTCTGAGTAAGATGATGTTTCGCAATGAGAAAGTAATTTTTTACAAACTTCAATGGAAAACTGTACCTTCAGAAAATCAATGACTGAAAACATGTTTGCTTTTATCTTGGTAAAAGGAGGTATGACCAGTGTACAAGCTGTAAGAATACCAGTAAGAAATTCTTGCAGGTGATCAATAAAGCTTATTGATGTCTTGAACAATAGAAGTTCCACTCCATGCAGGGGATACAATTCTTGCATCCATAAAAAGCGGTTTAAAAGACCTTAAAACAGTTAAGGAAACGTGTCACAAAATTGTACCTCATATGCACAGGAAATCAAAATTGCAGAATCAAAGAAGTGATGTTTTGGATAAGGGAGTTTGGGTAGGTCATTTTCCAGTTATGTTTTACTGTAAAAGATCTAAAAATACAGAACTTAATGGAACAGAAAACTAGGGAGGGGTATAATTCACAAGAAAATAATTCCAAAAATATGCTTCTGCAGTAAGCAGATAATTAAAATATGACATGTTTCACTCTACGTCAGCGTGTTAGCAAAGAGAGATCTAAAAGAATTTCAGGACGATATATGGTGAATATCTTCCATCAAAGTAGTGTTTGCCTCCTACTCTATTTTTAATTTGCCAAACTAACATAACACAGATTCCAAAATATCCTAAGTTATACAAAAATGGTTTATTTTATCCTCATTTCTATTGAACTGTAAGAACCCGCAAGGCTATCATTTATACCCAATTTAGTTTGGCCAAGGAAAGAACATACTAAAATTAAAATGAAGCAGCTTTCTTTTTAAGAGAATCACAGAGTCAATAATATCTCAGAATAACACAGTCAAGCTTCATTTTATGCAAAACAGAAAGTCAGAAACAATACACGGCATCTCAAGAATGTTAATTGGTAACATGCAAGCTCCAAAAAAACCTAACCTTGTTCGGTGCCACAAACACCTTTAGGCATTCCAGTAGATCCTGAAGTGTACAGCAGATAACAGAACAATCTCTGTCTTTCTTCCTCACAAGGAAAAAGAAAACCCACTGGTCTTTCATGCTGCTCAACGGTTTCCTCCATGGAAAAGCGCAATACAGGGCAGGTGCAGCACTCTAAAAGCCAATGCGATTTATCAATTGGCTCACAACCCCTTTTCCCAAAGGAAGACCCACAAGCTATAACAAGAGCAGCATTTGAAGATGATACAATAGACAATATCCTATCTCTAGGCCAGGAGGGATCCAGAGGCAAGAAAGCCTCCCCGCACCTTAAAACGGAAAGAACAGAAATTATGTATTCCACTGAAGGTGGAATATATATCCCAACTATTTTTGGACAATATACATTCCCAAGATCAGTCCTCAGAGCTCCTCTTGGCGGCGAAGAAGACAAGGAAACATCCCGCCCACTCGTAGAATTACTTCCTAAGGATTGTGGGTTGACCAAGCTGGGGTCATTGGCGCCATTAAGAATGGAGCGGAGGCGAGAAGTAAGGCAACCGACGGACGCCATGACGTCATTGAAAGTGAAACGGCAGTCCCCTGGGTAAACCGGAGGATTCCCGGAGGCGATTGACACGCTGTCAATCTGGGCCTCACCGACTGGCGACGAGGACGCATGTATGACGGCGATCTTATTTGGGTTCTTAGTTGCTGCTCTGTAAAACTCGTGCGATAAGCAGCAGTGCTTTTCTGCCTCTTCCATGGCAAACGGCATAACCAGCTGCGTCTTTCT